AGGCTTACCAAATAGGTAGCTGATGAGGAACATCTGGTAATTTTCCTACCTTTTTGTACGTGGTTTTCCGTTTTCGTCGCGAAAGAAGGCGTAAAGGCCGACGCTGAAACCGAGCGCGTGCAGAATCTCGTGTTTTACCGTGGAGAAGAGAATCTCCCGATCGTGACGATGTGTGGACAGAGCCGAAGGGCACAGATTCACATAGCCCGCTACCGGCCTGCAATACATAAAGTAACTCCTACTTGGATTGTACTCAACCAGTTGGTAGCTTGGTCCAACCGTAAGCCTATGGCCTGTGCCAGATTTTGTGAATCAACGGAATCGCTAGGGAGTCGCTTGATTCGTAAAGGTCTAACACCGGCCTATCTGAACAGGTACGGTCTGTGTGGGGAGTCTGAGGATAAACCAGGAGGCTCTAATCGCCGTCTGATGTGGTAACTACAAATTACGAAACCAAAAAAGGAACATTCCAGCCGGGATTCCACGGTTGCAAGGTGCCATGTATTCAGCTCTCATTCAGGTTCCTATACGTACATGTGCTAGCCTTACATTGTGGGATATGTGGACCACTTAAAGGATAAAGGATAAAGCATTTGCCGTTGATCAATCCCTTTTTGGGATGCGGCACGCATTCTACTTCCATTTGTACATTCGTAGTGGCGTTTGAATGCGATGTGGCCTATACAATGACTTGCGGGGGCCAGCCGATGTACCACTTATTGGCCTAAAATCTGGAAGTGGTCGTAACTCTTTATTATGGTCCTGCCAGTATTTAAATGGGCCGAAAAAGTACGGAAGGTTAACGAAGTAGTGGAATCGATCTAGTTACTGTGATAGCGAAGATTATGCGAACGACAACAGTGCTACCGTAACCAGCGAAGGAATACAATCTTGAATTACCCAGAAATCTCAGAGATTAGTGACCGAGTGATAGTCTACACCTCATCAAACTTCCAGGCGGTTGAAGCAAAAGGTTACTTACGTAGTTTCCACCTTTCTGTGTTTATGTTTCTGGAGAGAAAGTAAAAAGAATGATTCACAAGAATGCTGGGTTGTGAACAAAACTTTCGCCCCAGGCGGGACTAGAACCCGCACCTCTCGCTTTCCGGGCAAGTGTTTTATTAACAAACAAAAACAAGTTGAGAAGAGAAACTTGAAAAAGCTTCATATCCAAAAAAAGCGAAAGTTTTAAATTTCTGTAAAAACTCGACCGCCCTTCTTCATATGATTTTGAGGTATTCATATTCCAGTAAACAAGTAAACAAAAATCACAAAATAAAAAATCAACACGATGATATAAGCAGTACCTATCGAGCAGCGCTTCTTGCTGACAATGAGCCGCATAGGCGAGCGTATCTACGCTGTCACAGCGCTTGGTAGAGATCGCTGTCACGTACAGTATGAAATCGGCGTCTCTACAAACAGAATATTATCAGTAACTCCGGGATAGAGAGAAATCAATCTTATCACAAAGTTAGTGAATCTCTATGGAGAAATGGCTCTTTCAAAACGTGAACAACAAAGAGAGCAAAACTTTGCGAGATTTTCGAATTCCCTCAGGCTGGTGTCAGAGTCCGCGATCCGTCGAGCGATTCGCGCGATGCGCGCGACGGTTCGCTGACTCTGGCATCAGCTTTAATGTTTTGGTGAGGGTAGAGAATCTCAATACTCCCTCAAGTCGCCGAGTAACTAACGGTTCTTTTTGACCTTGGAAAAGCTGAACAAATACAATTTTTAGTTAATTTCTTCGTAATTAATAAAACTCCTATCGAAAAGAAAACCCACTTCACACCCTCTCCTTGTTCGCCCGATGTATAACAATCATCCGAAGTCAGGCAGTACGAGCATTGCTAAAACGACAAGTAGATTTGGAACAGTTAAAGGGGGAAATAAGTATTTTAGTAAGAACAGGACAAAGCTGACTAGAAAACTTAAGAAAGCTTGAATAGTGCCAATCTAAGTGGAGCAAAACGCCAATTAGCAAGGATGTTTTGAGGATAGGCGTCGTATCCACCAGTATCTCCTTTTCAAAAGAGCTGTTCAACCCAATTTTAAGCGTTAGAGAAAAAATGAAGGATTCAGAATGGATCAATTCCTTTTTGGAATGCTCCACGAGCATTTTATTACTTCCTATCCAGAATGTCCATAAACAATATTTAGCGTAAGCGTCAAACGAAAGTCATAAGCGTTACTTGAAGAAGTGAAAGGTTTTTCAATAAAAGCACCAAACGCAACTTATAGCAGGATATCGTGAATAGAACAACTTCCCCCTCCCCCTCCTCACGAAATCACTACCGTACGCGCTGCGACTCGTTCGCTGACTGTGCCTTGTTGCCGCGCGACGGGCCTCCTGTCGGGTACCCCTTTCCCCTGAAAGCGTTTAAGGGGAAAGGGTTACCACATTGATAATCTAGAGTTCTAGAGTACATGGACATTGACATTGCACAGCCGTTTTTTATCGTGTTTGTCCTTTCTTGAAGAAAGTCCACGCCCCGGTGCGCCGCATGTACTGCCTACACCCCAAACAGTGATGCACACGTCTAGTGGGCCCATCTGGCCCCGCGCGCAACGATATACAACGGAACGGCAGTGTGTGAGAGATTAAACGATACACACGTATGTGTCCAAGTTGTTATCTAACAAATGAGCTCAATTCCAGGCCAGTCAACCAGCCAACCCAAAAATAAGTCCAACTCCAAAACCTTACCAGCAAATGTTCCGCAGGTATGATGGTTTCACCGCAATTTGTCTCCGCTCGACAACCTCGATCACAAGCCACGGTTTTCTTTTCATTACGGTAGTAATAAAACGATGAAGTGCATTTTCTAAAGAATATTGGTTGTTGTGAAAAATGCGAAAATTCGACAGTAAATATTGAAAACCTAGAAAATAAAAAATTCCTAGAAAAAAATGTAAAAGTACCGGCGAAGGCGTATTGGCGCTTCAGTGCGTGCCACACGAAGCACGTCCTCCCAGTAGCCGGCAGCCTCGGGCAAAAGCGAACTTCTGAAACGGAATTTTAATAGTGTTCAAAAGATGAGAAGAAGTGGCTAACATCGGCCACTTTTGGAATGCGCCACGCACTCGAATTGTATTCAGGATTGTGGTGGTATTTGAATGCGCATTCAGCCTAACAGAACAAGTCTCGAGAGATCGGTGATGATTAATCAAGGTTCTAAGTGTTCTAAACTTACAGTGATGAGAGTTCAGAGTCGAGTTCATAAGTGACCCGGCTCTAGGATATACGGCGGTTCTACTTACTACTGTCCACCTACGATCGTGTATTCAAATTTATAGTTCAAGGTAATGGCAGAGGTAAGTAAGGTTATTCAGGGTAACGCCCACTTTCTGAGATGGTTCCTGTAATCTCTCCAAGTAGGTGACCTGGGTAATCGATTGAGTTATTGGAATCATTATCGGTAGCATAATGCGGAGATGAAATAACAAGCCCAATTTTAAGCAGTACTCCCCTTGATCTTCAGTTTTGCTCATCAAGCGCGACTACGGTATGATCTACAATGTTTACACCCTCCGCCGATCCCTACACTAGCAGTCTGAACTCTCCTCACGACTCACGCTCTCTCACCTTTTTACCAGTCCCTCGAATTCAACAGAATGCGCACTTTTCTAATCAAGGCAACGACAGTAGATCGAGATCGGATAAAATCTGCAGCTCAAGGACAGAGGTTTCAGAGTTCCTTACACAATCTTTCCAGCTACGGTTGGAGCTCTCAACAGCAACTTCAACTGGACAAATATTTTTCCACACGGTCAATCATAATGGAAACTATTCCAAAGGACGCAGATACGAGACTGTGTTCGATCAAATCAAAGAGAGCAGTGAGTGAAACTTGGAAAAAAAACGAAAGAAATGCAAAAAATGAGGATTCGCGTCCTTGATTATAGGATGGTCGGCCCTTTGCTATCTGAGCTAGACTTTTTCTAGAGACTATACTCAGAAGCTGTGTAGTCGAGTCTCGAGACGGGAACCATGCTACTTTTACCGACTTTATTACTCGTACTTATACTTTTTATCAATAACTTAGAAGGATGCCATCACTAGGACAAGATGGACAAACCTTTTTTCTTCAGGGATTATTTAGGCCTCTGACCGCGGTTTGTTATTCAGACTCCGACCGCCCACCGCTGCGTCCATTTTCGCCCACGCTCCCCTCGGAGCCCCCTGTCTCTGTCTCTCTGACTGTCTGTATTACAACTCAGCGACTACAATCGCGATCGTAGCCGCAAAAGGGGCGAGCGCGGCTCTAGCGCGACGTCAGAATAGCGCGTGAGGCGTGTCGTTATGGTTTGCGTTTGACTCCCCTCGACACTCGCGATTCTGACGCAATGCTTGAATGGCGCTTCGCCTCACTCGCGGCTCTGGCATCACGCCACCATCGCGCCATGCCCCAATCGCAGCTTCGGCTCACGCCAACATTATGCCCGCACACACGCGATTGCAATCGGAGTCTGGCACCTACCTAAAACGTAGCCAGAACGTCGCAGAAATGGAGCAAGTTAGCAAAGTTCTCGTCTGTATTAATCTTCACAGTTCCTTAACCCAGCGAAAATTCTACCCCATTAGGAGAGTTCTCTACTCTAAAAACTCCTAACTCTAAAACTTACATTTACAAACAGCTGTTTTTCTGTGGGCAAATTCAGCACCGATTCGTCATAGTGCAGGTAGATCCGAAGCGGTTCGAACACCGTCGACGATTTCGGGGATCGTCGGGTTCGACCAGGTTCAATCGGCACTTCAAGGAGGACGTCCTCAGCACGGGGATTCTGGAACAAGGCAAATTCTTATTCAGAGTTCTCTTAGTACGAACACTATTCTTCCATACTTACGCTGAAAATAGCATGGCAGCCCAGATTTTCTCTATATAAGTGAAAAAAAAACTACTGTCTGATTTTCACAGGACCCCAGGAAGAATTCATTTCCGAAGTTCAGAGGTAGATCCCATGCTAAATTCACCTCATAACCATGCAGCTGAAAAGATACTCGGAGAGGAAGTCACACTTCAACTAGGAATGGGGCCTATTTGAGCTTTTCGAGGAGGGTCTTATTCTGGCTTTTGCATGACTGTGATGGTGGGAGGGGGAGGGGTCGTATTTGAACTTTTTCGAGAGGGAGTAATAGTGGAAGTTGGAGGCTCGATTGTACTAGGGGGCGGAACGAGTAGTCTTGAAGGTTTTTGGCGAAAACTTCAATAGCGAGGCGTGGAGTAGAGAAAGATAGGAAAGAAAAAAGAAAAGAATAGAAAAGGTGAAAAATAGAAAGGTTGGTAGAAAATAGGAAGAGCATCCGCCGTTTCTACTGGGAGGCAGAGGAATGATGTGGAGGGACGTCCAAGGCAATAGTCGTGATGGGAAGTCGAGCTTAGGCCTCCTCAAGAGGTAGGACACTTTAAAATTTGTAAACTCGGTCGAATGGGCGGTTGACCCTGGACCGGAGCAAGGAGAAGCGATATTTGGCATGATTGTGGCTGAAACCTGCTCGGAAACGACTCTATTAGGCCAGGAACGTGGCCTGCTTCTTCTTCCAATTCTCTAATCATATCTTCCAATGCTCATCAGGGACAAGGAGGACCCATTTGGATGATCTTTGGAATCAAAATCCGTTTTGCTGAGATAGTCGAATCCTCCACTTGTCAATAGTTACTGTGTTGATGCTAGACTCGGCTGCGAGCCCCAACCCAAACCCGAACCTCGGCTGGCCACTGCTTTTTTGGATTGGCCTTCTACCAGTCGACTAATCCCGAGCACTGTTGCCTTCTACTTTTTGGGCAATTTGTATCCCTTTTTGAAGCTAATATTCTCTAGCTCATCAGCCCGGTCAAAGTTACGTTGACACACGCACCGCTGCACAAATGCGCTAATCGTATGGCTACCGTAATCCGATAATGAGGGTTGGACGTATTGAAGTGTGTTTGTCTATAGCAATGACTAAACACAATACTGGCTACGTAGCTGCACGGTCAGTGATTATCCTAACTCAACGGGGTCACAAACAATGGCGGCCTCTTTGTAAGGGATAGATGCCATGTTGAATCTCAGAAATATAGTGCTGAGCCCTGTGCGATCACTTTTGGATGCGCCACGCACCGGAGATTTGTTCGCATTTGCAGAACTTGTTGAATTGACTTTGATAACTTGTGACCGACGTCAGCGTTTATACTTCCGGAAAACCAATCGGGTGGCTAAAAAGTATGGGTGCGTTCTTCCGCAAAAGTTCTTGCTTTTTCGTATCGCACAAGCAATTCTCAATTAATTTGAATTCCTTAACTAAATCTTGATTTATTTTTTGACAATTCTATGCACTTTCTTGAAACATTTCAGATCAGTGAAAAGATTAGAACTACGCCATCGCTCGTAATTCAAAGTGGAAGTTCAGGTTCAAGCAGTGCAGAAAATTGTCCGCCAATGAAAAGCAAAGGCAGCTGTTCGTGTTTATATTTTTTTAT